AATCCAGCCGGATAGACCCAGGGCCCGACACCATAGTATTGCGGTACTACAGGAGGTGGTGCGCCAGCTATCAGCGCCCCTACGTAAGGCTCCTGTCCACTGATAACAGTATAGGGGGCAGTAGGAAAGTTTTGTTGCTGTTGTTGCTGCTGTTGTTGCTGCGCTTGGGATGCGGCTAAGTACTGTTGCTGCTGTTGTTGTTGCTGCTGCTGTAGAAGTTGTAGTTGTTGCGGTGTCGCGCCTTGCGGTTGACTACGGAACAGTGTCTGAAAAAAGAAAAAAAATCGAATGACACACCAAGAAAGGTTTTTTCTTTGATAGTGTTGTTTTCCAAATAATGCCATAAAAAGGCTAGGATGAAATAAACATTAATAAAATAAAAAAAAGCGAAAGTAGTCTTGTTCTTAATGCTACATTTATTTAATTTTTTCTTATTTAATAAAATTATATCTGCAATAGCTTTAATTTTCGCTAAGTGCACGATATTAAAATCAACCTACAATACTTGCATATAATTATGATCTTGTCTGTAAACTTTTATATAGAAAATATGAAATTAAATGAATAAAATTTAGAAATTATCAAAATGGAATTTTCATTAGAATATGGTCGACAATATAATACTGTTGATTATCTCGGAAGACTTGTTATTATTTTTGGAATGGAGAAAAATCTGTCAGTAAAGTAAAACAAATATTATTAAAATATTATTTACAAATTTACGAAAAAAGATAAAGATAAATTAAATAAAAATTAAAAGTAATCTACATTGGCAAAAACGGGAGTCATATCAATTTTCTAAACTCTAAATATGAGGTTTAAAGTGCTGGATAAGCTACTTAAAAATTGAAGAATCTTAGGAATATATAGAGAACTTATGTCAAGAAAAAATGTTCTTCCCATCCAACATTACAAGCAAAAATCTTCAAAATTTCATCATTCAAAACACTAACGTGAAAATGTTACATGTTATAATACACACAATATATTTTCTAGTATTATTTATAATGCTCGTCTTCGCACGTCTCTATATCATAAGTACAACGTTGTCATATTTATTACGTAAGACTAAGGAAAAAATAATTAATCAAAACTTGACATGTTAATATTATGACGGACACAGATGATAAAATTAAAAGTAAACACCTCTGTAAGTCCTTTCGTTTTTTCACGACGATTTGATATCGAGCTTTCCTGTTAGAACATTGTGTATATAAGGAGGAACCATATCACGCGCAAATCGCGCCGGCGGTCGAGATGACCTTTCGGCTTCAAGGCTCGGTGACGACATCGTATTACTGGGATAATCATACGGACCAGGGTTTTCAACATGAGGATCAAGGCCGGAGGCAGGCGATGCCACTGCCTGAAAGCGGCGCAAAAGACAACTCGGCATTAAAGTCGAGGAAGACGACCGAGACCATCACCTCCTCCTCCTCCTCCTCCTCCTCTTCCTCCTTCACCGCCTCCTCCGGTTGGTCGGCCTGGGTCGACGACCCCCCGCGGACGTTCACCGACATGCGTTCGCCTGTTCTTCTGCGTTCCCCGGACCGGTGAGATCGTACCGTGGACTTTTTAATTGACCGACAAATGTGTCGTGATTCGGCACGACGCGACGTAGAAACCGCGATAAAGTTACGTACGACGGAAACATCAAAAGAGTACAACACAAAAAAAGGTAATAACACTCTTGTGCGATAAACACACGTATTAAAAAAATGAGGCTCTCCTCTTAGTTTTTTTTTCGCGCGATTTCTTTAAATCTCTTCTTTCGTATAAATTAAAATCTTTCAATCTTTTTTTTTATCGAAGAAAATAAAAGTAAATTTATAGAATATTGTCGCTCCGTCATTGAGACTATTGAACTAATGAGTATGATCGACGGATAAACTTTTTTTTCTCGATACTATCGGTCATTTACGGCATATTACGATATGAGTTACACGGTTTGTATTTACTGACGATCGATAAATTTAATAACATTATCCGAGCCAGAGTTCCTTCGACCTTCAAAGTTACGAGAGCTCGGAAATAAATAGGAACATCGACCGAATGGCTGATTCCTTGCACGAAGCGAAGAAAACTTAAACCATTCACGACACGCTCCAACCCTAAGAGGCAACGATGCGTTTCGGGTATTAACCTCTTCCGGAAACGTCGAGCTTGAGTCAAGGCCATAGTTACACCTGACCGTTGCTCCTTACAGAAGAACTCTATCTCTCTTCGGACACAAGATATTAATACGTAGAACAGGATTTCTTAATTTATTAATATATTTTATCACACATTTTAAAAAACTAAATTAAACATTTATGTATTTTAAAACACAACTTGCTAAATTAGTTTTTATTAATATAAAATTAATTATAATATTAGTTCAGCAGCACATCTAATATTTAATTTATTTATTTTACACAAAATATATTTTATTTGTGTTCAACTAATAGAAAGAAGAAAAAGATAAATCACAGGCCGTTTATTCATTTCTTATCTAACGGTTTTATATATTCTTATCTATCGATGCATTTTAAGGTAACAAAAATTTTAGACAAAAAGAATAGTATAATAAGAAATGTTACATTGCAAGGTGCATATGTGTGAGATGCGAACAGCTCATTAAGGTCAGATATCGTGTTCGGAAGATTTTTTCCCGAACGCTGAACCGTTAATCAAAGAGGCCTCGTCATTGATTGAGACTCGAACTGATACACAGCGCCGACAGGAACAGTCTCATTAAAACGCTAATAGTATATCCTATCCGAAGCAAGTCTGTGTTTATCTCACTACTATTTGTTTAATAAAATCGTTATCTTATCGTCGACCGAATGCTTACCTCGGAACTAGATCGTTATTTCTTCTCTATATTATTCTTCTCGAGTATCTGATTATAATTACGCGTATTTCTTCTTGTATATCTGATTGTAACAATTATCATTCGTTTGATGCAGTTTGTTGCCAAGTATTTTAGAAATCTGAATTTTTCGAAATTCGAATTTTACTGATTATCTCTTTTTATTCGTGTATTATTTAATGTCTTACTTTTGAGAACCGGAAATATCACAAAATCACTCAAACGAAACCTCAAATTAGTCTCGTACGAATCGTTACAGCCATCATCGCTCTTGAGAAATAAAGAGACCGAACAAACGTCTAAATGAAAATTGCAGTGATTTCGCGTAAAAATGGCGGAGTGTCAGAGAAGAGAAAAAAAAAAGAAGAGAAATTGGATGAAGCACGTCATATCAGAGAGGGACAGTCGATCTCGGGTGAGGAGGCGAACAATGGCGCGGTACATTGTCGTGGGTGAGAATAGGGGTGAGTTACACTCCTGGAAATGTGAGTCATTGTTGAATATGTAAGGTTTCTGCCGGCGGCTGCAAATCGTCGACCAACGATATGGAGTCTGATTTCCTAGCTGTTAAAAATATCCGTAGCGATTACCGTCGCGCTTTTCGAAAATACTTCGACGGGAATAAATGAAACGCCGCATTCTTTATTAGAACTATATAAAAACACTTAAGACATTCGAGAAAGTATAAAAATATTTTCTTATTAACCAGAATAAATTCTTATCGGATCTTTTCAGAGATGTGTATAAAACGAGAAGTGTCTTTAGATTAAATGTCAATTAGTGTCAGTTGTATAAAATCATTAAAACCTCAAAAATATCGCACGTTGAATGATTATCATAAAAACTAAGAAAATAAATCTATATCTTTTTGATAATAAAATAAACATTACATCAAATTTTATCAAAATTTAATTAAATTTAAAAATTAAGAATAAACTGTAATAGCATGATTAAAATAAGTATAAATAAAGCTAAAAATCAGCAAATAGTGTGGAATAAAAATATTAAGTTTGAGATCAATTCTTACGTCAATAAATAAAGAACAATTTCAATTTTTACTTTGTGTTTGTCGTTTTTAAAATCTAAAACAAAATCATAGCTAAAAGCATATATTGTTAAGCTTCGAATCGCATCCATTGGGAAGCCTTTATCAAGTAACAACGCATGGAAAGTATACGTCATTAATTTTAATAGAAGAGTTACCGTGAAAGACTTTCTAAGCGAAAGAATCGAGGAGCGTATCCGATTACGTAATCAGAAAGGAATTAATTATTTATATATATATATATATATATGTATATAGTCTCTCTTATCAAGGTATTATTGTCCCGCAATAATGAACAGAGTACTGACTTTTCTCCTACACTCATCAGTATCCGGATAGACTTTCACTGATCTGCGATAACCTACTTATTGTCTTTGTTTAATTACTATTTGCACTCTCCTTCCAGCGAGTGCAAGATATCGCATTATATCTAGCACGTGTCAGTGTATTTCCGTGATATTTTAATTGCCATACAAGCAATCATGCACTTTCTTTCGTCGATTAAAAAAAAAGTCTTGCCAAACATTTTTAAGTCTCCAAACTAAGAAGTCTTTTTCAGAAAAAAATTTTCAATCCTGTTTTATCAATAAATATCTTCTTTATATTTTACTTATATAATTGCTTGTTACAAATGCAATTATTGTAATGCTATTTAGGCGAGGCACAAAAGCCGGATTTTCTCGCGAAGGCGTTAGACGCAAGTCGGAAGGTTCAGCGAAAGGCTTTTGATTACCGACTTACGAAAAAGCGTAGCGTAACGAATGATATAAGAACGATTAGGTAAGAGATATTCCGTTGCTGAATTCCTTACGAGTCATCCGCGGAAACGAGTTTGAGAGTGACGAAGGTTCGACGACCTTCCTTCTCTCTGTGCGTCTCTGTCGTTTGCCTTTCATAACCGGTGCGTTTTAATATTTATCGTTGGTTCATCTCTATCGTGTCGCGTGCATACATTCTCGGGAACGTCAAACATTTCAATTCCGATCGGCTATCGAATCGTCCGATTTTTTATTGTTGACTGCCAACATGATCGTTTCCAAGAAATTTCATTTCGAACACATTTTTTAAAATTGACAATAAATAATCTCTTTTTAAATTTGAAAATAACATGTCTACTTTTGTGACACATGTTCGCTACTTTTTTTTAACCTTCAACTACAGCTATAAATAATCCAAGTTATTCTAAAGTGTCTTATTTGAAATATATATAGAATGCAAGTGAATCTCTACTTTATGGTAATTGATAGAGAAAGGTTCAAAGTTTTTTTTACTTACAATTTAGCATCATCTCATAGTACCAACACAGACAAGTATACAATCATACAGATAGTATCAATCGTATAGATTGTACAATCGTCTAAAAATTTTTG